CCCCCAAAATCCCCGCCCCTCTCTTCTAAATAAAAATGTTGAACTCGTTAAAAAATACACTAATAATTGAATGGATAACACCACCATCATCACAATGAAAAGATCAACCAAACGAATAAGCCAAAGGCAACCCTGCAAACTTGTGAAGAAGATGCAGGTAGAGGTACCCTGCCCATGTGGCTGAATGGTGACACGCATGTGAACAGTGACACACATGTAACTATTAGGAAGTAGATCATGATTTTGAATCGTAGTCAAACAAAATGAGCACGATAGTGTTAGGGGCTACCTAGTTACAGTGCAGGTATAGAATACCAGGTCAAGATACCTTTTGTTGTCTTGCTGTTTCTTTTCACTAGTGAAGTTGCTGGCTCCTTTTCTTGCTGCAGGAAAAAGTAACCCTGCAAAGTCGTGAACAAAATGGAATTGATTTTGAGGTCAGACAAGTACATGAGAAACGTGGAAGCAGGCCAACACCAGAAGTGACCTTGATGACAGCTGATGGCATGGATCCAGAGGGTACAGAAGGGCGTGTTGTGCTGGAAGAGGGGAATGGGGTCTTCCCAAAGACCTTTCCTCTGTACCCTGATATAGAAACAGAGGAAGAAACATGCACCAGTACAGATGGGGACTGTGCAGCGGAAACTGCACAGGGTAATGGCAGCCGCAAACGGAAGCGGGAGGATGATGCCACAGATATGGATGTTGTCCCAACCAAGGCTATGAGTGGTGAAGATGGCCGCAGAGAATCGAATGTTTTGAGAACAGGTGATATTCAAGGACACTTGGCAGGGGAGATAGAGAGTGGAGACATGTCTCAACAGGGACATAGAGGCCAAGTAGGTAATACAGAAGACAGAAGTGGGCCTGCAGTTTGTGACCTTGTAGGAGGGGGAAGGGATGTGGAATTGACGCGGCCAATTGCATTAGGACATGGATCAAGCCCTGCAGCTAATGAGGATGGAGTGATGGGAGCATGCCGCGAGGGTGGTGGCCAGAGCACATGCCTGGAGATTGGAGGGAAGGCTGAGAATTGTTTCTTCAGCCATGGTGGAAGAGACAGTCTGGCAGTGCAGGCTGAAAAAAATGGTTATGGGAGCTCAGATGCAAGCAACTGCAGGAATGACCTGGCAGCACTGCAGCGATTAGATGCAGGCACAGTAACCCCTGGCAAACCAAGTTCAGGAGCTGAGGCTTCAACTTGTGCTATCGCCGAAGAATGCACTGCCATCATTGAATCAGATGACAAGCAGAGAGAATCAATCTGTTGTAGAGGATTCATCAATTTAATGGATGATGATGATGATAATGATGATAATGACTTCAATTGCAAATCCAAAGATGACTGTGAGAAGCTTGGGAGCATGGGGAAGGGTGATCATAAATGTGTGTGTGAGTTTGAGCGAAGCAGCACGGACAGGAGAGAGAGTGAATGTGGATGTGCACTTGGAAGGACAATTGAAAAGAATGAGCATCTGCATCAACCCCAGCGTAGGGATCATGGTGGTAGCTCTGAGGTTCAAGTTGTTGATGATGCAAACGAGGTGCAGGAACAGACACGCAAACAGCCTCAAGGAACACATAACATGGTGGGATGCCCCCTGGAGGACAAGTTTGCTGCAGAATGTGAACTCGGAGGTGGAAGATGTGTGGGGTCTTTGAAAGATGTGAATAGTGTGCAGCTTGCAGCGGAGCAGCAGCAGCAGCAGCAGCAGCAGGATGGCCGCAAAAACAGGTTGCAAAATGGAGGAACGGCAAACAGCGAGTCTACTGTTGCGTACTGTGATAATTGGATGGAGGAAGATTCTAAAGGAAAGGAAGGGATGCGACCGGTCGTTGTCTATCGGCGACGGAGCAGAGAAGGAGCATCTGAGAACGCCTTTGGGAGCACCATGCAGAGGAAACAAGATGGACGCAGGTTTCAAAAGGAGAGAAGTCCATGCATGAAATCGGGAAGTGCAAACAAGGACTTGATAGAATTGGAGTACACAGGCCGAAATGCAAGGGCAAGCAGTCAAAAGGAGAGCAAGCAGCAGGGTGCTAAAGAGCAAGATGGGAAGCACAATGGGGAGATGTCTAGAGCATGTAGTACAGATAGCTTGTCAGGACCAAAAACAAATGTATTCATCATTGATAGTGACCATGAAAATGCGTCAACTGTGGTAAGATGCAAAGAAAATCAAGAAACTGGGTGTAGCAACAGGATTATTCTTAGGGAAGAGGTGGATGTGGATAAGGTTGCAGATATGGTAGTGGACAAGACTCCAAGTGTTGGCGCACATGGAATTGCAGGTGATTACAGAACAGGTGTTTGTGAAATTGACGATGGTGATGGCGATGTGTGCACAGTCATCAACTTGAGTGAAACAGACCACGGCATCGAAGATGAAGGAGATGGAGATAGCCTGGTTGTCTTCAGTGGACCCTGTGACAACGGCCGTGCGAATGGAGGCTTTATCATCAGCTCAAGTGAAACTGTTGACAAGGTACCTTGAAATTCTGTCCTCTTTTGGGACTTGGCTTGATGTCTGAATGTTCATTCGGCCAGATTAGAGGGCCTTGTTTCATTGAAAAAGCCACCTGCAAGCTCTTAGCCGTGGATGGCCCCTCATGCTGACTACTGGAATGAGTAAGGTAGGATGCTGTGCTGCAAATGGCCTGGATGTACCATGCACTATATGTGGTGATTAGAAGTCGGGTGGGGGCTGCTGCTGGGGAAGGGACTAGGGAGGGAAAGAGAGGAGGGTTTGGTGGCGAGATGGGTGGCAGGGACAGGGGACGAGGGAACGAAGAGGTTTCTGATTGTTGGCATGGTTGAGAGATCTGGGTTTCAGGGTTAATATATGTGACCATGTTTGTCTTGTGTATTTCTATTTTTATCATTTGTTTCACAAAGTGCGCTCATTTAGTTCATAGATACGTGACAATATATGTGACCATGTATTTAGCATGCCTCGGGTTCATCAGGATCACATTTGTCGCAGCCCCTAATTTTCAGCCTTCATGAAATGCGTCTGTGTTTTTCATGGCATGCTTGTGGTTCCTCCTACTGTCCTACTCTGGAGGTGCCTTGCCCCCTGTCCTCTTCATGATCCTCCTATGAGGACGAGTCCTTTTCTTCGTCATTCTCTCTGCTGCTTCTTTTCTTCGTCCTCACTGTTGTTTCTGGCATCATTTGATCGACACCTTCGTGTTCGTTTTGCCTCCATCCCCACCTCCTTTTGCTGCGGCTGCTGCTGTAACTCTGCCTCCTGTCACTGCTCCTGCTGCTGCTGCCTCGTCTTCTGAATGGGCGTGACAGGAAATGGCACCTAGTGACCTCCACAGCTCTCAAGCTGTCCCCTTCGCAGCTGCCCACTCAATCTCAATGAGTGCACCGCTCTGCAAATTTCATGTGTTTGACGTCACATAGGACGTGCCAACCCTTGCGCTTCAGCTTGTGTGATACAGTGTTTCTCATGATAGTTAGTATGTGCTGATTGTGTGATACAGTGTTTCTCATCCCTACATTATTAAAATCGCTAGCGTCAAAAATCTGAATCCAGGCCGTCGTGGTCCTGCCGGACTGACAGCCCAGATTGTCGAAGAAATGTAACAAATCTGCGGTCCGGGCCATCGGGTGCTACCGGACCGACGGCCTTGTGATAGGTAGTACGTGCTATGTGCAAACTAGTCTTGCAGACCTCTCTTGCTGCAATAGAACGGTGGGGGTTTGGGGATATACAGAAGACAGCCAGAAAGCTGCAAGTTCACAAGTGACTAGTGCGAGAGAGCTGGAAGGGAGGTGGTGCTGGAATGGATGCGGGTGATTGGACATTGGCTGAGAATGGGAAGTGGTGCTGGAATGGACAGGGGGGCAGATTTTTGGGGCAACTGGAAGGGGAATGGCGATAATGCTGGAATGGGCACGGGTGATGGTCAAATGGGCAGGGAATGGGTGGTAATGCATGGGATGGGGGCGGGTGCTGACACGTGGGGCGGGATGGTGGTGGTGGATGGGGATGACCTGATTGGAAGCTTGATGGGAGGAATTTCATACAAGAGCGTGTTGTTATGACATGGTATTGTTTGCTGACAGCTATAACCTCCCTATAGATCAGATCTGAGTCATAAGCATCTCTGATCTTTTGCTGCAAGTCCTTTCCCGTATCTAAGTAAGTAGCTATCATCCCAGAAAATCTGCTCTTCTGGACAATGCGTCGGCGGCAACATTATACTTCCCCTTCACTGGTTTCAACTATCTTCATAGAGGGCACACAATTCTCACTCATAGGTAGAGTCAGCTACTTTCTCTGGTGGCAGTCTCTTGGACATGAACTCTACCGGTCTATAGCCCTTGCCACCTTCCTGCTACAGCACCGCTCCTATTCCATACTGGCTAGCATCTGTGGTCACCACAGAAAGCAAGGATGGATCTTCAGTCTTCGGCACCCAGTACTCAATCTACGCCTTCTTCAACTTCTTAAAGGATGAAGTGCAGTCCTTGTCCCACAACTCCTCCTTCGACAATCTGTGAAGTGGTGCAGCCTTAGTAGAATTTTTTTTGACGGACTTACTATAGCCAGTGGTAGGAATGAGCGCAATTCTATGATGTTCTTTGGCGTCGGCCAGTCCCTAATTGGTGCAATTTTACTATCATCAGGTTGTACATCTATGACATGACTGAGATACAACACATGCTGCTTAGCCCAGTCACCCTTCTTGGGATTTACCTTAACTTATTCTCTCTAAGCTTAGTCACGACACTTCTTGGGATTTACCTTAACTTATTCTCTCTAAGCTTAGTCAGGACACTCCTTGGGATTTACCTTAACTTATTCCCTCTAAGCTTAGTCAGGACTTCGTGGTGCTCTTCATGTTCTTTTAAAGTCCTGCTAAAAATTAATATATCATCTAAATAGTAAATATAGTATATACGACAAAAAATATGTCAAGCCAGTCGGCTAATAAGTCTTTCATACAACGCTGGAAGGTAGCAGGGCTATTAGTCCAACCAAAGGGTATCACATTAAACTGGTAGTGGTCGTACCTTGTTCGAAAAGCTGTCTTCTGCTTATCTTCAGGAGCCACTTCAATCTAATGATCCCCTGCCTTCAAGTCTATCTTAGAGAAATACTTACAGCCCTGCAACGTCTCTAGCAGGTGATCGATAAGGGGCAATGGTTCTCCATTCTTTATTGTTATCGCATTCAGACCGGTAAAGTCTATACACAGTCTTAGCTCTCCTTCCTTTTCAGGAACAAATAGACAGGTGCACCATAGGGAGGTGAACTTGACTTAATCCACCCTTTGTCTTCTAGCTCTTCTTAGCTTGTTTGGTGCCATCTTGTAAATGAGACTTTATGAATCTTACTACCTGGCTCTATCTCAATGTGATGCTTAATTGGCCTCTCTATTGTTCCCTTGGGCTCCTCCAGCACGTTGACAAACTGTTCTGGTAACCTTTGGACTTGGGGTGACATAGACTCTCCCTCTCCTTTAGGCTCTCTTTCCTTTGCCTTATCCCTCTTCTCTGGTGTCACATATGCCACAGAAACCTGATCTACCAACTTGTTCCTTACTGTTTAACTGAGAACACAGGGCCACTCATACAGCAAATGGACAGGGAGGATTTTAAACCAGACTGATGATACTGGCGGACTTTTTTTTTCTTCTCCTCGTCCTGACTGGGCAACCAACACTCAACTTCGCCCATCTTCACATCTGCTTTCGCCACCAGTCCAATTGAGCCTCTCCTAAAATTTTGGAGGCTTGCACGCCGTCGATAGCATAAATCAATGGCAGGCGACCTCCAAAAGGGGCCCACAGCCGATGGCTGGCATCTACTAGTGGTTTAACCCCCTCAGGGTACTGCCCCATGCCCACCAAAGTGTTACTGGCCATTCTCGAGAGTTCTGGCTCTTCCAAATCTTGAAGTTATATCCCTAAATGCAACTTTTTAACTGCTCTTTGGGAGATATAACTTCTGGTTGACCCGTTGTCTATCATCGCACCTATTCTCACAGTTACTAACTTCTACATGTACTAGTACTAACTTCCCTGGTGTTTCCTTTTTAGTAGCCCAGACCTCACGAAGAGTGACCAGTTCCTCGCCTATGTCTGTTAGCGGACCGTACAAAGAGATCCAACAATAAGCTACCTCCATACACATGTGGCTCGGTCCTATGCCGATCAGTACTGGTCCTTGGGCTAGACGGGTTGTTTAATGAGCGTCCGCCGCTCACTGCCCGTGTTTGCTACTTATCTCACTTGCCGGTGGCAGGCATGCCCCCAAACCTCCAACCGACATAGGACCTACTTTGAGAGCAACAGAAAAGAGGACTCTTGCAGCTCAATCCTAGGACCTACTTTGACAGCAACAGGAAGAGGACTCTTGCAGCTCAATCCAGGGAAAGACTCGCACAACAGTGAGTCAGCATCATAACCATGTCATGCAAGGCTAAGGCGTCGAATGCCTCACCTCCAAGCTCACTAAAGACTTGTTGCCGGCTAATGCCGTTGTGTCGCTTGACCAAGCTCGATGTCTGCTGCAGGTACGTGCTTTTACCGCTTTTTCCGCTCTCCAACTCCCTTTGATATTCCCCAGCCAGATCCCAGATTTTTTTATTTTTTTATTTTTTTGGTTCACTGCTGCCCACCGGCCTTGTTCCAAACGCACAGCCTCTCTACTTCGCTTCGCATGCACCTTTCTTTATTCACCGTCTGCTGTCTGCCTGGGCACCCTGCATGCTTCTTTTTTTTTTCTTTTTTTTTTGGGAAATCTTCAGCCGCAGGGGGTTTTGCGTAACGGGGTGATAAGACCAGACCCCTTAATCAATTCCCCGCTTTGAAGGGTCCATCTATTGGTGGGAGCAGCACCTGCTGGAAATTGGGTCCAACGTCCCTGTAATATACAACGGCTCATTGACCAGAGGGCCAGTGGACATGTGGTGTGCAATTTGGGTGCCTCCAGTGGAGGCTGTGGCCCAGTGTTGTTTGCTGTGCAGTCATTCCTTGTCCTGTTAACCTTGTTGTTGCCCCCCATTTGTCCCAGGTCCCGGCACCCCGCATGTTTCAGTATTTAGGGCCCATTGGCACTCAGCACCCCGCTTTTTTTAATTGAAATTTGAAACAGCGTTTTTCTGCCTTCTTTACTCCCTGGCTGTTGCACGCTTCACGTCTCCAGGCTGGTGCTTCTCCTTACACGTTGGCATGCTTCCGTTTTCGTGCCGTCTAGAAAAAAAGTGATGGGGGACTTAGTGCCCTTCCCCCCCGATCAACCTACAACAAATGGCTTGAGAAGCCGTGCACTAGCTGGCTATCGCTGCGCTTGCAGGATTCTTCTTCTTTTTTTTTTCCTATCTGCCTGTTCTCATTCACACAGGCACTTCCCCCAAAAAAGTCTCTCTCTCTCTCTCTCTCTCTCTCTCTCTCTCTCTCTCTCTCTCTCTCTCTCTCTCTCTCTCTCTCTCTCTC